AGTTTAAACAATTATGGCAATTATCCTAAGTCAAAATAGGTAAAAATCCCGAAAACCCGCTTGTCTGACAGCTAAACTCGCCGAGTACATCAGGTAGGAGGCAAAAAACGATTTTTTTCAAGCATGGACAAGCATACAAAGCATCAATACAATAGAAACCAATCTAGGCTCTGATACCACTAATGGGTTTTGGTCATAAGACATCCTATGTGCTCATACAAACCCTAATGCTTGGATCTAGGTTTCTCTATTGTACATGCAAGATCCAAGACTATAAACCCTAATTCTAGCATTCAAGTTAATCATATTAACATGAGAATAAGTTTATAATGTTACCTTGATTGTTATGTAGCAATAACAATCCCAAATCTCCTTGTATTGACTTTGGAAGGCTGAGAGTCACAAGTGTCACTCCTCTAATGGTTTACAAACACCATAAGCAAGAGGATGAAGAGGAGAGAGGTTAGAGGCTACCAAAAACGTGTAGAAACCCTAACAAGAAGCTTAGCCACGTTTTTGGTCCTTTAAGGGTCTATATATAGTGGGGCTATTAGGGTTATCTAACAAGGAAACCCTAATTTGGATGCTTAAGCCCTAAGCAACCCATAGACTCCTCTAAATAAGGCCTTGGACGAATTTCTAATGGGTTTCCCCATAGAATTCGTCCACCCCTTGATTCAAGGCAATCCATGACCCAAATTTCAATTATCTTATAATTACAATTCCAGTCCCTTAAGTTTAATTAATCTCTTTTAGTCACAAAACCAATTACCAATTAATTCTTGACTAATATTAATTAAACAATATGATTTCTCCTTTAATATATGATTCCCATAATATATTAATAAATCATATTTAATCCTTTCTCTCCATAATTCATCCTATCAAGTTGCTTTGGTGAAGGCAACCCAAAAGGACCATGCACCATCGAGTCAAGTACATACCAAAATAGTTATGGACTTAGACACTAATCCAACATATTTATCTAAATAAAACCATAAGAATGTAATTTGAACTTTTCAAACAACTAGGGTTTTAGAATTTTTTTTTTCAAAATTAAACTTTTAATCAAAAAAGTTAAACTCCAAAACTTGAGGACAAATTTTGAAACTTTTCAAAACATAAGGGTTTAGAATTTAAATACTTCAAAATTAAACTTTTTTTAATCAAAATTTAAATTCCAAAACTTGAGGGCAAGTTTTGAAACCTTTCAAAACTATTAGATCAAAATACAAATAAGGCAATTAAACAATTAATTGGTGATTATCTAATTATGACCTAATTCAATTTCATGTAAGATAATGATCAAATAATCCAAAAAATTAACATTTATCATATAAGGAAGTAAATATTTGATTAATTTAAAATTATCTTTTATTTTGGTAAAGATAATCATCCAATATCAATAAAATTCATAATTTATCAATAAAAAATGATTTGGCAATTATCCCACAGCAAAATAGGCATGAAATCCTGAAAATCCCTCTTTCTAACAGCATGACTCGCCGAGTTCCCATATGGACTTGCTGAGTTCATCCTACTCGACGAGTTCACTTTGGGACTCGATGAGTTTGTCAGTCAGAGGAGCAAAAAAAAACGATTTTCTAAGCACGAATGAACACAAAGCATCAATACAATAGAAACCAATCAAGGCTCTGATACCACTTATGGGTTTTGGCCATAAGAACATCCTATGTGCTCATGCAAACCCTAATGCTTGGATCTAGGTTTCTCTATTGTACATGCATTCATCCAAGACTTTAAACCCTACATCTAATATGTGATAATCAATATTAACATAAGAATATGGTTTATACCTTAGCTTGATTGTTATGTAGCAATAGCAATCTCAAATCCTCCTTGTAATTGGCTTCTGAAACCTTAGTGTCAAAAATGTCACACCTCTAGAGGCTCACAAACACCAAGAGCAAGAGGATGACTTAGGAGAAGAGAAGGAGGAACCAAAACGTCCAAGAAACCCTAAGAAACACTTAGCCATGTTTTTGGGTGCCCTAGGGGTCATTATATAGTGAGGCCATTAGGGTTTTAAACTAGGAAACCCTAATCTGGCTACTTAGGCCCTAAGTAGCCCATAGAATTCCTCCTTAAAGGCCTTGGACGAATTACCATGGGTTTCCCCATAGATTTTGCCCACTCCATCCTTTATGGAGTCCATTAGTCCAATATCCAACTATCATACAATTGACAGTTTTAGTCCCCTTTATTTAATTAATATCTTTTAGCCACAAAATTAATTCTTATTAACTATTGACTAATATTAATTAAACAATATGATTTCTCTTATAATATATTATTCACATAATATATATTAATAAATCATAATTAATCTATTTCTCCACAAATCATCTTATCAAGTTGCTTTGGTGAAGGCAACCCAAAAGGACCATGCTCACAATCGGGTCAAGTACATACCAAAATAGTTATGGACTTAGACACTAATCCAAGTATAGTGCAAATTCCTTCTACATGGCGTAACATGATGTTCCATGTTGTTCCATGTTTCTCCAAGTGCTCCACGTGGTCAATGTTGCTCCAAGTGCTCTAAGTGCTCCATGTTGCTCCAAGTGCTCCAAGCCACTCCAAGTTGCTCCATATCTCCTTTTAGAAGATTCATTCCGTTGTCACTTGATTCGTTCCTTTGTCATATGATCCAAAGCCATCTCATATAATTGGTTCCTTTGTCACTTGCTCCATTAACCTCAAGTGCTCCATTGAGATCTAAGTGCTCCAAATGCTTTATGAGAATGCTCCAGATGCTCGAGTCACATTTAACACTTCTTAATCCCATGTAAAGCAATGTAAATGCTTCCCAAATCACTGAGTTCAAGGATAATATTCATTGTCCTTTAGAAGCATTTTGGAAAGTTTGTATGAGTAGCTTTAGGGATTAAGAGCTTAATCCATTAAGTTAACCAGAACATGTACGAGCGGTCACAATGATATGCTGGTCTGTAGTCTCGCGACATTTTTTCTGTGTGGGTACCACGACATGGCATATGCATGGCCACGACATGATGGCCAACTGAGTTGACTTTTTAGAGTTAAACGTTGATGAATTTTTAGCTAAGGAATAGTCTCAGTTTGGATTTGGGTAGCTTGTGTTAGTTGTTTTATTGTTAAGGTAGCTGTTGAGTAGCTCAGGTGAATCTTCTCACTATACTATGTAGGATGCTAGTTGTCTTTGTGACTTACATGGAAGACCAGGGTTTGGCCCCTGACATTTGTATGAAAGATCAAGGTTTGATCTGTGGCATTTGCATGAAAGGCTAGGGTTTGTCCCCTTTCAATTATATAGAAGACCGGGATCTACCCCTTCGGCACTTGTACAAGTGAATACCAAGATTTATCCCATGGCAGGAAGTGATTGTAAGATTATGATTTGTCCTATTGCATTCACCTGGGGTTGAAATAGACTCATTATGTTATGTATGGTATGTAGTATTTTGGGGAACTTAGAAAGTTTTGTGTTTACGATTTACGTTTAAATGTTTCAGGTACATCTGGTTCCAAATGGAAGGACCCGATAGAAGTGATTGTAACACTATGATTTTGCCCATTGCATTCACCTGGGGTTGAAATAGACTCATTATGTTATGTATGGTAAGTGGTATTTTGAGGAACTCACTAAACTTTGTGTTTGATGTTTATTTTTAAATGTTTCAGGTACATATGGTTCCAAAGACCTGACATGATTACATTGCATCCACTGGAGTTTCTGCATTTATGAACTTGATATTACTCTGATGTTATTTGAAACACTTTTGATATTCTACTTTTGATATTCTGATTATCTTTTGGGAAGTAATGAATGAATGTTTTGGGTTATTTAAAAATGAAAATTTTACTTACTATTTTTGGGACATTATGTGTAGGGATGTTATTCGGGTCGGAACCGAACCGAACCGACCTGAACCTAAATAACCCGAAAACCGAATAAGGGTAATTGCATGAACCGAAACCGAACTAATTAACCAATACGAGTTGGTTCAGTTAGTGTATTAATCGGTTCGGTTCGGTTATTACCCGAATAACATGAATAACATGTACAAGATGATTACGGACCTAATATAACCGAAAAAAAAAAACTCGAATAAACCGTATTATGATTCTATAACCCGAATAATAGAACAATAATGTACTTTTATATATCAACATAAAACATTCAAAGAGTAACATAACACAATAACACATTGAAAGAATAACATTTACATAGTAGATTAACATAATGAGAATTAATTTCTTTATTGAGTTGGAGCCTAATTTTCCATGACTAGACCAAGTAGGAATTTGTGAATCCTTAGAGATAATAGGTTGGGTCGATTTTTGAAAGTTTGAAACAAGAGGAAGGATCGACAAAAGTGATTTCGAGTTTGGAAATAGATGAGAAGATTGGTCGATTTTGAAACGATGAGAACGAGTTTAGGATTTCTTTTTTCTATTATGAAGGACAAGGATAAAAATGTGAATCATGATTTTGATTTCTATCGATAAGAGAAATGGGACGATAAATGCTTATTTGGGTCGAGTATTTAGAACCGAATAAGTTTTAATTTGGCTAACCCGAACCAAATAAAGATAATATAGATACCGAATCGAATTGCTTATTTGGGCCAAATTCAATTCGGGTTTCTATTTGGGTTTTCGAGCCAAATTGTCATTCCTAATTATATCAACATTGTAGTATTAGTAAAAACATATTTAAATTTATAAAATTGTTACTTTTTTATTGTTAATTTTTGCAATAAATATAGTTACTTTTCAAAAACCATATAAAAACACACAAAGGGCGCACACACACAAACAAATTCTCTATTTAAGAAAAAAAAAAAAACAAATTTAACACAAAATATTACTTTATTTACAAAAGTCTATTTAAAACAAATAACACAAAATATAAAACACAAAACAACAATCTACGGAATACAACTCCGGTATCCCGGAGGTAACTCCTTAATGCGATGTTCCGAACTAAGTTGTCATTTTTCAAAAAATTATAAAAATTGATTATTATTAGCAAAAAGTTTGAAGAGATAATCTTTTTTTACAACTAAGAAATAATCTTATAAATGAAGTATAAGACGTCCTATGGTGCATGCATATTTCGCATACACAGCTCACATATACAGGTCATACACAGCTCACATATACATGTCAACAATCTGTTGAGCAGTATCACTAACTTCACCCACGTGTAGACTACTCAAATACCTAATCTTTTCTAAGGCAGGTGCTTCAGCAAAGGATGCTGCATAGGAGGAACTAACTTCAACGTCTAACTGCTCCTCTAGGCCTGCTTTCAAAATCTTGTTAATCCCTTGTAAAGCAAGGTGAACGCTTCCCAAATCATTGAGTTCAAGGATAATATCCATTGCGTTTACACAGTCCTTGTCCACGAAACGCCTATGAAACATGGTAACATGTAAGTCTGTATGAGAGGAGGAGAGGGTCACATATCATTTATAAGGGAATGGTGAGAGTAGAAACCTGATTTGTTCCGGTGAAGAACACAAAATGACATTTGCAACAGCTTGTCCTGCGACTCTTTTAACCCGAAACGGTGCATTCTCGACTTCTTTGATTAGCCTTTTAAGTAACTGAGCCTTGATCACATCCTCAATAATAGCCTATATTATGTTGAAAGCAAGATGGATTAAAATACAAGGAAGGAATCAAAGCCCAAAGGATACAGTATTACAGTGAGCATTACATGTTTGTTTCTTGAAGTGATGATGCTAGTAGTTATTGTACGGCACACTTGCTCTTTCATATTCTTGACTGGCAACAAGTTGGCCAGTTTTGAAAGGAAATCAAGATTTATAAAACCCTCAGTTTGATCGTTTGTGAGGTAGATTTTACAAACACAACAAAGTGCAGCATTGGCAACTTCAGCGGGGAGCTGAGGACTGAAGATCACAGAAAATATATAAATGTCAAAAGGGAAGGTGGAAACGGAATCAAACAGGAGAAAGTGTTGACAGACCTCAGAAGCTCCAGAAGGCGTTGAGAGACCTTGGCAGCAAGCACCGCTTTATGTCCCTCAGCAGTAGCCTCGGAAATATAAAAGAGAGACCAGCATAAGTCTGTCAAGACATCTTTGTCTTTCCCC